CTATAATACTGAGTGACCTCTCACAAAACAAAAATCTGAATATCACATGTTCTCACTCATATAATGGACCTTGAACATCCAATGCAATACTATGAGAAAATGACGGATGGTACTGGGAAACTATGGGGGGGAGGGGGATGGGATTAACAGTAGCAAATATCTGTCGGGGGATGGGAAAACACTTCTTATCTACAGGGTGCCTGAATGAAACGTCATTGTACACCTAACCCTTAACTGTACCCCACAAAACCATAATAAAAAATACTGATTAATGAAAAAAAAAAAAGGACTCTCACAGACTCAAAGTTAAAGTACAGAAAAGAAATTTTCATGCAAATGGAACACAAAAGAAGGCAGAAGTTGAGATCTTAACATCAAGCAAAACAATCTTTAAACTATGAAAAATTTTAAAAGAAACAGAAGGATACTACATAATGATAAAAGACTCAGTCCATCAACAAGAAATATCTATCCTAAACTTACATGCACTCCACACAGGAGCACCAACTTTTGTAAAACAGCTACTAAGTAAACTAAAAAAAGATATCGACTATAACACTATCATAGCTGGGGACTTAAATACCCCACTAACAAGCCTAGACAGATCATTGAGGCAAAATATCAACAAGAAGATCCAGAACCCTAACTTGACACTTAACCAAATGGACTGAATAGATACCTACAGAATACTCCACCCAACAACCACAGAATATGCATTCTACTCATCACCACATGGAACGTGATCCAAGATCAAACACATCCTTGACCATAAATCAAGCATAGACAAATTTCACAAGATGGAAACACTGCCATGCATCTTCTCAGACCACAGTGGAATAAAAATAAATCTTAACACTCACAAAATTCCCCCAAAACCCACAAAGACATGGACACTAAACAGCATGATGCTGAACAACTCCTGGTCAACACAGAAATCAATACAGAAATTAAAAGACTCCTTGAAACAAATTAAAACAAAGGAACATCTTACCAAAACCTCTGGGATGCCATGAAAACAGTACTAAGAGGGGAATTAATATCTGTATGAGTGCACATCAAGAAAATGGAAAGATCACAAATTAACAACCTAAAAAATCACCTAAGGAAACTGGAAAAATAAGATGACCAAAACCCTAACTTCAGCAGAAGAATCCAGGTCACCAAAGTAAAAGTTCAAATATGGGACATAGAAGAAAAAAATAACATAGAAAAAAAGTCTATGAAACCAAAAGTTGATTCTTCGAAAGGATAAACAAGATTGATGAATCCCTAGCCAGATTGACCAAGGAAAAAAGAGAAAAAGCCCAAATAAACAAAATCAGAAACACAAAAGATCAAGTCACAACACCTCAAAGAAATGCAAAAGATTATCAGAGATTACTATACACATCTTTATGGAAACAAACTCGAAAACCTAAATGAAATGGAGGACTTTCTGACATCACAAAACTTCTCAAGTTTGAAACAAAAAGAAATTGATACCCTAAATAGACCAGTAACAACCTAGGAAATTGAGTCCATCATAAGAAAACTACCTACCAAAAAAAAAAAAAAAAAAAAAGCCTTGGACCAGAAAACTTTCCAGCAGAATTCTACAAAACATGCAAGGAGGTGCTAATACCAATACTATTGAAAGTATTTCAGGCAATCAAGAAGGACAGAACTCTCCCCAAATCACTTTATGAAACTAATATCACTCTGATATTCAAACCATGTAAAGATCCTACAAAGGAAGAGAGCTACAAACCAATATCCTTGATGAACACAGATGCAAAAATTCTGAACAGGATTCTAGAAAATTGGAATCAACAACACATCTCAAAATCATTCACCAAGACCAAGTAGACCGAATAAAAACAATTTGGTATATATACATGATGGATTATTATGCAGCCATAAAGAAAGACAATGTTATGGACTTCGCAGCAACTTGGAGGAATTTATAGTCTATCATACTCAGTAATCTATCACAGAAACAAAAAACTGAATACCACATGTTCTCACTCATAAGCAGACCCTGAACATTTATCATAACCCTATAGGAAAGTGTTTGGCAGTAGCAGGATGCTGCCAGGTGAGGGAAGGGGGAGCACATAACATCAATAAGAATACCTGATCTCAAACTAGGTGAAGTGTGGACCAATGAAAGGCCCAAACTTTATCTGTACGATGATCACCTATCTAATCCTGAATTTTACCCTATATTTTTAAAATAAAAAATAAATAAATAAGGAAAAAATAAAATAAAATTCAAAATGCACAGATTGAACTACATACCAAAAAGAGTCCATTTTTTCATATAGTTTTAAAATGCAAGTTTAAAACACTCAGAAAAGTAAGTAATTGATGTGCTGTTTATTTTCCTGACCAAACTCTGTCTAATACATATATTATTTTCTCAACTTATAAAAGAAAAGCACCATCCATGCCAACTGTGGTGGGCAAAATAATGGCTGGGGGAAAAAACCAAGTCCTAATCCCTAGAATCCATGAATATTATTCTTTACAACAACAACAAAAAGACTTTGCAGATATGACTAAGGAAAAGAACCTGAGATTGTAGTTTATCCTGGATTATAAAGACCTTGAAGGCAATCACGCATATGCTCATTAGAGGGAGATTTGACAACCCAAGAACAGAAGTCAATGTGACTATAGAAGCAGAGATCAGAGTAACACCCACAAGCCAAGAAATGCTGGAGGCTGCCAAAGCTGGAAGAGGCAAGGTACAGATTCTCTCCTACAGCCTCTGAAGGGGGTACAACCCTGCTGACACCTTGATTTCAGGTGAAACCGATTTAATATCAGTGAAACTGATTTGAACTTCAAGCCTCCAGAACAATGAAAGAAAATGTTTCTGTGGTTTAAAACCACCAAGTTTGTAGTAATTAGTTAAGAGACAATAGGAAACCAAGATGAAGCTTAAATACACCTACCTCAGTGAAGTTTAAAGCTTGAATGTGTCTAGATCTGAGCTGTATACTGACAGCATTGAATTTTTCTTCTGTTGAATAAAAATTGTCACCTAAGTAAGACAAAGCAGTTAAAATTATAGAAATTAAGTCCTCTCTTCTAACTTAGATTTAGGAAGAAATACACCAATACAATATAAATCAGTCAGCCCTCTCACTCTGTTATCAGTCTTGGAGGTAACAGACCAATCAAGAGTCAACTTGCTTCTAAAGTGAACAGGAGCTAGTTGCAGAGGGAGGGAAATAACAAGAGCGAGTTGAGGTATCATGCTACAATACTGACCTTCTTTGTTCAGATGTTCCAACCCTAAGTTAACCTAATGGCTTCCCCTATGAGAACAGCCAAATACTCTAGCAAAAGAATTTATAACTAAGACCCCAAAAGCTAATGCAACAAAAACAAAAATAAATAAATAAATGGGACTTAATTAAGCTAAAAATCTTCTGCACAGCAAAATAAAAAATCAACAGACTGCATAAACAACTTACAGAATACAAGAAGATATTAGCAAACTATACATATGACAAATGACTAAAATCCAGAATATGCAAACAAATCAACAAGAATAAAATTCAAACATGGGCAAATGACATGAACAGTAATCTCTCAAAATAATATATACAAATGGCCAACAAACACATTTTTAAAAATGCTTAGCATTACTAATCATCAGGAAAATATAAATTAAAACAATGATTTGGTTATTCATGCTCTTTTTTGCTTCCATATGAATTTCTGTATTGTCATTTCCAGGTCTGTGAAAAATTACGCTGGTAACTTGATGAGTATTGCATTGAATCTATAGACTCCCTTTGGTAGAATGGACACCTTGACTATATTATTTCTTCCAGTCCATGAACATGGAATGTTTTTCCATTTGTTTGTGTCATCCTTGATAACCCTCAGCAAAAGGAAGAAAGTGGGAGATATCACACCTCCAGACTTTAAACTTTATTACAAGGCTACAGAAACCAAGATAGCATGGTATTGGTACAGGAATAGGCACATAGACCAATGGAACAGGATAGAGATTCTAGAAGTAAAAACACGGTCTCTCAACCAACTCATCTTCAACAAAGTCACCAGTAATAATTATTGGGGAAAGGAGACCATATTTAGCAAGTGATACTGGCAAAACTGGCTAACCATATGCAGAAGAATGAAACTGAACCCCTACCTGTCACCATATACAAAAATCAACTCAAAATGGATCAAAGACTTACACATAAACCTCAAACTATAGGAATTCTAAAAGAAAACATAGGAAACACCCTTCTGGACATTGGAGTAGACAATGAATTCATAACCAAGTCCCCAAAAGTGACTACTACAAAAGCCAAGAAAGACAGGTGGAAACTTGTCTAACCGAAAAGCTTTTGCACAGCAGAAGAAACCATCAAGAGAGTAAAGAGACAACCCACAGAATGGGAAAAAACATTTGCCAATTACACATCTGACAAAGTCCTAACATTCAAGATCCACAAGGATTTTGAACAAAGTGGAAGAAAAAAAACAACCCCACTAAAAAGTAGGCAAAGAAGATGAGCAGACACTTCTCAAAAGATGACATACAAGCAGCAAATAGACACATGAAAAAATGCTCAGCCTCACTAATCGTCAGAGAAATGCAAATCAAAACTATTATGAGGTACCTCCTAACTCTGGTAATGATGACTGTCGTCAATAAATCAAAAACCAACAGGTGCTGATGCAACTGTGAAGAAAAGGGACCACTCCCACATTGTTGGTGAAAATAAAATCTGGCTCAACCTTCATAAAAGTAATGTGGTGATTTCTAAAAGAACTGAAAATTGATCTTCCATGCAATCCAGCAATCCCTCTCCTGGAAATATACCCAGAGGAACATACAAAGCTCTACAAAAAAGACACCTACGTGTGCGTGTTTATTGCTACACTGTTCAAAATAGCAAATACTTGGAACTGACACTGCTGCCCATCAAAAGTGAACTGGATAAAGAAAATGTGGTACATATACATGATAGTATTATGCAGCCATAAAGAAGGACAAAAATCATGGTCTTTGCAGTAACTTAGATTGTTTGTTTGTTTGTTTGTTTGTTTGTTTTAAGACGTACGATACATTCAGACTTAGGTATGCAAGTGGTCATCGTACAGGTAAAGTTTGGGCCTCCCTTTGGTCCCCACTTTACCTGGTTTGAGATCAGGTACTCTTATTGGTGTTGTGTCGCCCCCAACCCCAGCAGTATCCCACTACTGCTAATCCCTTTCTTATGCAACTTGGATAGTTCTAAGTGAACTATCGCAGAAACAAAGAATTGAATACCACATGTTCACACTCATAAGTGGGCCCTGAACACTAGTCACCTTAGCACAAGGGTAGAATTGGCAGTTGCTGGGCACTGCTAGAGAAGAGAGGGAGGGAGGAGGATGGGGAGTACGTAACAACACAAAGGGTACCGAGAGTACCTGGTCCAAGGGGAGTGAGAGCCACCTGATGACCAAACTTTACCAGCATTCAACCTTCTTATGTAGTAAATCCTCACTTGTATTCCACAGCTCTATAATAAGTAAATAAATTATTAAATAAATTATATTTTTAAATTATTTATTTATTAGAGTTGTATATATATACAGCTCTATAATAAATAAATTATTTATTATATATTGAATTATATTTTAAAAACTTAAAAAAACCACAGACACACAATGAGATACCACCTTACACCAGTCAGAATGGCTATTATTTAAAAAAATCAAAAAACAGCCAGGCATGGTGGCTTACACCAATAATCCCAGCACTTTGAGAAGTCAACACAGGAGGATTACTTGAGCCCAGGAGTTCAAGACCAGCCTGGGCAACATAGCAACACCTCCTGTCTAAAAAATAATTAAAATATTAGCAGGGCATGATTGTGCACACCTGTAGTCCTAACTACTCAGGAGACTGAGGTGGAAAGACTCCCTAAGCCCAGCAGTTCAAGGCTGTGGTGAGCCATGATCATGCTATTGCACTCCAACCTGGGTGACAGAGTTATATCCCAACTGAAAAAAATAAAAAAATAATAAAAAGTAATTGATGATGGCATGGATGCAATGAAAAGGGAATACTTATACACTGTTGATGAGAGTGTCAACTAGTACAACCTCTATGGAGATTGATATGGAGATTTCTCAAAGAACTAAAAGTAGATCCACCGTTCAATTCAGCAATTCCACTACTTAGTATCTACCCAAAGGAAAAGATATCATTATACAAAAAAGACGCCAACACTCGTATGTTTATTGCAGTACAGTTCACAATTGTAAAGATGAAGAATCAACCTAATGTCCATCAACTGGTCAGAAGATATTATATTTATCCAGTAGAATACTATTGAGCCATGAAAAAGAATGAAATAATGTCTTTTGTCAGCAACTTCGATGGAATTAGAGACCATCGTCCTAAGTGAAGTAACACAGGAATGGAAAAACCAAATACTGCATGTTTGCACTTATAAGTGGGAGCTAAACTAAGGGACTGGAAAGGCATATAGAATGGTATAATAGGCATTGAAGATTTGGAAGATGGAGTCTCAGAAGTGGGGTTGAGGGAGGAATGAAAAAAATCACTTATTGATACAATATGCATTAGTGAGAGTGACGGGTATGTTTAAAGTCCAGAATTCTTCATCGCTATACAATGCATCCATGTAACCAAAACCCATTTGTACTCCTAAATATATTGAAATGCTTTATTTTTTTTAATTTTTTTTTTTTGAGTTGGAGTCTCATTCTGTCTCCCAGACTGGAGTGCAGTGGCCGCTCCTGGCCACCGCAGCCTCGACCTGCTGGACTCCAGCGATCCTTCCGCCTCAGCCTTCCTTCAAGTAGCCGGAATTACAGGCGTGCGCTACCACGCCCGGCTAATTTTTTTATTTATTGTAGAGATGAGGTCTCGCCTGCCCAGGCGGGTCTCGAACCCGCGGACTCAGGCAATCTATTTTTTTTTTTAAAGAGGAGGAAAAAGAGAGCCAACACTCAGCCCAGAAACATCATTCTCACTATACTAATCGCCAATTGCATCCATCCTTAAGAATCATATGAGGAATTTTGAAATAACCTATCCTTGACCAGAGGTGGGAAAACTAGGGAATTAATTATTTATGTAACTTTTTTTTTCATTGATTTATCTATAACACTAAAAGAAATAACATTTTCTAAATGAAACTTGTGGTAGTAATGTTTAATTCAGTCGAAACATGAAGATGAAGCTGTAAGATTTGTAACAAGCTACCTTATCCACTAATAATAAGAGTTAAGTAAGATGACTGATATGTATATGTGAATTTTCCTACATATCCCAGAAAGAAAGATTCCAATAACAAAGGTAACAATAAAAATTGAATGTCTAGGAATAATTTTTAATTATCTTAAAACTCTAAAACTTTATCAAAATGTCAGAGATAAATGGAAAGAAGTATTATATTCTTGAATAATCAGACATACACTCTAAGAAGTTTATTATTTGCAAATAAATGTCTAATTTTATTTCAATCACAAAGTCTAAATTAAAATTTTAAATATATAGATGAACTCACTTTTTCCTTCCTTCTTTACCAAACATATACGATTATCTACTTGTGGAAAAGATTATGCTAGATACATCAGATAAGCAGTGATTAAAACATACAATACTTCTTTCTAAATTCTATGACAGAGTATATATAAGCAGATACAAACAAAATTTTGAAATAGAATATATCTGTAAGTCTAATCTGAAGCTCAGATTATCAAATCATTTCCTATCCTTATTTCCTTCAAACACAAACAATATATATCATTACTAAGTTCTAAAGGAAATCACAGGTCACATTTTTTCAATAGGAAACTCAGAGCAGATAGAGAGGACTGTAAAATTTCACTACAAATGTAGAGAAAAAGAAAATAAAAATAAAACTGCAACTTATGAAAACCTTTCATGTAGCTGTTAGTTAGAAAGCAGGTATTCGAGAAGACTTGATGAAATGTAAAATGCTCAATATAAGATACAATATCAAGTGAAAAAAATAAGGATTCAATTACAATAAAAATTTATGAAGAGAGTAAACCAAATATTAGCAATAAATTATTTGGGTGCATAATTATACATTTCATAAGTTTATATTTTACATATTTTCTATATTTGGCATGTAAAGTTTTATAACCATAAAAAAATACAATTTTTGAAAGGTAAGAATTAAAAGTTTCCATAATAGGGATTGTTAGTGATACTGCAAGGCTACTTATAGGAAAGGAGTCTTACTAGCAAATGTTAAGTTATCTTTAAAGCCTGAACTTCAAAATAAAACATCACTAATTTCCTTTAAAAGTCCATTAAGCAACAATCAGCCAGCAAAATCTTCTAACCCTTTCTAAGTCATATTAAACCTAATCTTCTTATAGCATGCTTTTAATGTCCATGTGTTCATTTTCTCTTACAAACAAACAATACGACAAATGCTACCCCTGAAGGTCTTTGTCAAGGAAAGCGGTGGGGCTTCAGGCCCACTCATAGGTTTGGGTACAGGCTGCAGGTGCCTGAGAGGCAGTGTGTACTGGCTGCACAGAAGTAGACAGCTGAGTCTCCAGGCTGGGTGTCGGCGATGTGCAAGGAGAGATGTTTGGCCACAGCATTTATCAGAACTGTAATTCTTTGGTCTTGCTTTTTGTCCATATTTGAACGAATGTCTATAATAAGCTGAGGACCTTTTCTAAGTTCTTGCTTATACCAAGGGAAGTAGGATGAGGCACTATCTGAATAAGTACAGTTGATAACAGAGTTGTCTCCCTCCTGAACCCTCAGGATAGAAGGTTGCTGCTCCACATTCTCTCCTTTGCTCACCCCTATACAGAAAGAAAAAAGAAAAGAGGAAGTTTGTTAAGCCATTACTCTCTAGAATTTTCTTTTTCTATAATAACTAAGATAAGTCTGAAAGTGCTAGTCTTCTCCCTGGAGTTCTAAAGACAATTCACTCATATACACTCTTTTCCGAAAACCCTCAACTCACAGTCCAGCTGCAGCCACAAGAACATGAATAAAGCTCGGGTGGATGTCACCATTGTTCTTCCCAATCAGGATCAGTCGTCGACTGCAATCTCCAGACATAAGAGCTACTATCATCGAGTTGTCCTTTCTTTCTCTAATAATCATAGTGGTTTCTCACATTGCCTACTCAGCCAATGAGAAAAGGCTCTGCTTCTGCCATAAGCCTATTCATTCAAAATCCACCCAGATGAACCCCCTCTTTATCTTTCGCATCAGCAGACGTGCACTACCCTCTTGTGGTGACATCCCAAACTACAGAACTCACTGGTTGAATGTTTTTCTCTTACTCTGCGAAGGATTCAGATGGCCTAAAGCAGCAACAGGCCAAGCAAATTACGTCTTCAAAGATTAAATGCACAGCAAGAATGTAGAGATCAAGATTTACATCGATGTAGACTACCGAGTCATTGTTAATAAGTTGAAAAGAGGTAGATGCTGTTGGTGTTTATTCAGTGATGGACCGAGTTTACGTATTTGAAATCAGGAAAGCATTATGATTCACTCTCCTGAACCAAAAAAAAAAAAATTAGTACCTTAGCTTTCAGCTAAATCTATCATCATGATTTGTCTTTTATGAAGAAAAATTATTTCTAAAAGGAACATCTAAGCCAAAGAACAGTCTATTCAATATTTTAAGTGCCTGTTATCTCAGGTTCTGCTTCTCCAAGCCTGAACTTGCCCACGGTCCTGCTATTTCCAGGGAATTGAAAGTACCAACAATCAAAATATGGACTCTCCCTTCAGTAAAAATGATCGTAATAAAAAAAATCAAATCTCAATTACAAGGGAGCAGGGGATACGTTTCAGGGGTTATTACTATTCCAACAATAGGAAACAGTTTGCCCTTTAGAATGGGTAGATTTGCAATGAGGAAGATGACATACTTCAAGAAATATCTTCCTATTGTGATATGTTTTATATTCCTCAAAATGCTGAAAGAAAGAGGATAAATTCTCAGAAAACATTTAGAAACATTTAGAAAATGTAACACGTGTAAGTTTTTTCTTGAGGTGCTTTTATTTTCTGATATAAAAATGAATGACATGTCCTCAAATACAGTGACTGACTCATATCCTCCATGGCATTTCCCCCTAAGTTATGAGCCAACTCTCATCGCATGGACTCCAGCTGCCTTGGCCAACGCTACTTCATATTCAATACCCTGTCATTGTTCTCCCAAAAGCTATTACAATGTTCTTTCCCTCAAGATATTGATAAAGTTCTTCAGTTCTTTAAGTTTCCAGTATTATCTCTCGCTGCCAAAAGCCCTTCCTTTTATATTTTAATTTCTTGATATTTTCTGATTACCTCTAAAAAAATAAATGTAGGGAAACCGTAATACTACCTGTGTCTACTAGAAGAATAGTACGAATAGAAAACTGACCCCAAAAAACTGACCATAAAGAATTATGAGAAATAGTCCTGGGTAAGCCAAAATCACCTCATTTCCAGAAGAAAAGCCCCTTTCCTGTGATTGGTACTCACTTGTTCACTTGAGTTATAGGAATAAAGTTAGTGCTCCATCCATATCTCACACCCTTAAAAATATTAAGGTCAGCTATATTGAAGACTCTATAAATCCATGTGTATATATATATAATTTGTGTTTATATATATATAAAAAACCTCCATTCTAAGGATCTTCCATTTTCTCATCCACTCCCCATAAAATAGAACTCTTAAGTTCTTCATTAGGCAAATTTTCCTCTTCTTAGAGACAAATACTCTAAAATATTTTAGAATTTAATATTTAGAAAAGGACCTGTAATCCTTTTGAGTTATATGCTATCCATAACTGAATGTAATGGTCTGAATATGACCACTCATCTGGAGCACAGCATTTCATATACTAACTCTAGTGCAGATGCAATCATCCCCTGGACAAAATTTCCAGCTCTATGATTATTCCATTGAATACTGCCTGACTCATTGTCAAAGCCCAGAAAAAGCTTTTGCTAGCACTCATGGACTGCCAACTGCATAAAGGCAATGTTCACTTTAGTATCCCAAATCCAATGATCCTTTTTGCTAACAGTATATGAGTGATGCTCATTATGTTCATATCTTTCTTCAAGAAATGCTCACTTGGAATAAAAAATATTCATTGCTATTTTCAGGAAGTGAGAAATACAGTCGTCCCTTGGTATCCATATAGAATTGGTTCCAGCATCCTCCATGGATACCAAAATTCATGAATACTTGAGTTTCTTATATAAAATGGTATGATATTTAAATATAACCTGCACACATCCTCCTGTACATTTTAATCGCCTCTACATTATTTATAACACAGTGCAAATGTTATATAAATAGTTGCTATACTGCATTATTTAATGAGAAGAAAAAAGTATGTACATGTTCAGTACAAATGCAATCATCCATTTTTTGGCAAATATTTTCAATCCACAGTTGGTGGAACCCACAGATGAGGAACAACTCTCAGATATGGAGGGCTAACTGTACATCTGGGTGTTGAGGATGGCACCATCACTTTTGGAACACTCCCACAGAAGCCAGCAATTGATGGGTGGATTTGCTGGTAGAGTAACAGTGACTCAGTCTCAATTTCTTTTCCGCCTTAAGTGGCAAACATTTACACAACTTAGAATTTTCCATTCTCATGGTCAAAGTGATTGTACCAAGGCTTTCCCAGACCTAAACTGCAGTGATCAAAGTGACTTGGCTCCCATTAGACTGTTTCTCTTTGCTTAGCAATATGATCCCGCAAGAATGAATGCCAAGGAGGAAACGAGGAAATCCAGTTTCTTTGTACTCTCAGCTCATTTACCATTTAATTGTTTCATATTGGCATCTTGAATAGTTTCTGTCTTGCAAAATGAAGTCGGACCAAAATATTTCTGAGGGCTTTTCTTGCTCTAAAATTCTCTAGTCCTATTCAGCAGAGCAAATATTTACTGAGGACTGGTTGTGTGCAACAAGGAGTAGGGAGAAATTGTTCTGCATCATGGAACTTCAAGACCATTTTTACATCCTCATTCAAGCTAGCATGTCTGAGGTTATCCCACATCAATCCTTGGGCCTCTTCAGAAGTAGAGACAGAGTTCTTGGGATAAATTCCTAGCTGGATTTTCATTCCTCCTGTAACATCAATGATAGATGATGGATCAAGAGGAGCCTATATCCATAGTAAAATGAAATAAAAATGGAAATTTACTCACTGAGTGTGAAGACCATCCCAGGCAGTGATAAGGGATGGGCTCCATGATTAGGTCACAGATAAGGAGGATACTCCTTTCTGGAGATCTATTTCTTATATTTCTGTCTACAAACTATTATGTCCTTCTTGGAGGAAAAAAAACCATTCACATAACTCAGCAACTTGGAGAACCTGAAAGAAGTGAGTTCAATAATGTGTAAAGCAAAAGGCACTTTCTCAAACAACCTGATTGCCTTCTGGCTTCAAGTTTTCTCCTTCCAAATTTAACTTGGGGGTTCAAGATTCCCATCCAGGGCTGGCTATATAATTTGTGGGACTCAGTGCGAAATGAAGATTTGGGATTCCTTGTTCAAAAAGTGGAGGAAAGTATCTTTAGGTAATAAAATATAAAGGTTTCTTTTAAAATATTTTATTGTTTATAAAACACTATAGAGTTTATAATGATACGTATGCAACAAACTTGCAAATTGCTAAAAAAAAACTTGGCATCATAATTTTATATAGTATAGTGATAATACTTTATTAATATATGTTGATTAGTCATAAGAGTTTTCTGGTTCACTATTTGACAAATTAATTTAATAGATTGACAAAATGTATATTTTTTTCAACTTCATTTTTAAGTGCTATAATTAAAAGCAATGTCAAGTGCTCCTAATGAATGCAGGGTTGCAAAAGGAATTTTTATACTTTCTAACTTTGAGAAGAATATTTCTGCTGATGCAACTAATACTGAAGCTCTTCAGAGTATTTTATATACTGGGACAACATTTGCATCAGTACCTAGTCAATTAACTTGAAATATACATTTTAGTAAATCTAGGGTTGATGTTCCCCATGAAACCTTTTTTTACAACAATTTCATTTTTCAAACAAATTAGTTGTATGTAAGTCTAAGTTTAATTTTAAATGTAGATTTATGCAGCAGCATTTTAGTGTTTCTTCTAACATTTTCTGTAACTTGTGGAAGTCATTTAAGATACTGAAAGTGGCTAAATGATTGTGCATAATTCTCAATGCTTGTTTATATACATTCTATCATTGTTTCTCCAAATCTAAGGAAAACTAACTTTAAAATATCTTTTGTTTTAATATTTTATTGTCCAATCTTCACATGAAAATAGTGGGTTTTTTCCATCAAGCTACTGTCTTTTCATTTAATTTATTTCTAAGTCTGAGGATATTCACTTTGTAATGTTGCAGCAATTTTCAAAATTAGAGTTTCCAAGTTTTTTGAAGGATTCTTCAAAATTTCTCAATTACTGCAACTTCAATACTTTATTGCAACATTCATGTATACCCTTTGATTTTGCTGGCAAAGTCTACTGCAACCCACTGTAGATGTCCAGGACATCAGATAGCCCAGAGTGTGCATGGGCACTTTGAATGACCCAATCAACAATTACCCTATTGGGAATATACCCGGAAGAAATCAAATCATTCTACAAAAAAGATACCGGCACATATATGTTTGTTGCAGCTCTATTCACAATAGCAAAAACATGGAACCAATCATGCTATCCATCGAAGTTGAACTGAATTTTTAAAATATGGTACATATACACAATGGAATATTATGCAGCCATAAAGAAATACAAGTATGTGCACTTCAGAGCAACTTGGATGAATTTAGAGTCGATCATATTCAGTGATCTATCACAGAAACAAAGAGCAGAGTACCATATGGTCTCACTCATGAATGGACCAAAAACAATTTTCATAATAATATAATAAAGGGATTGGCATTAGTGAGAAACTGCCAGGGGAGGAGGAGTGGGGTTGACAGTTGAGGGAAACTGCTAAGGGAGGTAGGGGCACACCTCATCAACAAGGGTACCTGCGTAACTAACGTTTATATACCTAACCCTGAATTGTATT